GTTCAGCATTAGAGTGTTGTCCTCAAGATTCCCCAGAGGAAAAGGTGAGACCAGTCAAGACCATCAGCCTGCTGGGGTCTCAGTGTGGGAACCTACTTGGCGTTCAGACTACTTACTTAGAATGTTCTGGAAAGCCTTTCTAGAAAGTAGACATCAAAACTGCRAACTGATGTGCACTGTGCACATTTTCTGTGTCTATTCCTATTACAGTAGTTGTTCCTGCTCCTTCAAGAGGCCAGCTGTTCTACTTGGCCTCTTACCTGGACTGCCCCAGTCTCATAATTCGCCTTCCTGGTTCCACTTTTTGTTCCCCAGCCCCAGTCTCTTCTTCATCCAATGCAGGCTAATCTTTTAAAAAAGATAAACATGGTTTTCCTAAAAGTCTCCTTAACCAGCCATGGCTTTTTTGCACTTTCGTCAAAGATGGAAGCTTCTTATCTGGCTATAAGGTGCAGCATCCTCCACCCTCAGCCAGCACCTCCTGTCTCCCTCCCTCCGTGCCCCTGATCTCACTTTTCATACTTGCCAACCTCCTCCCCCTGCCAGGGACCCTACACCTGTGGTTTCACCTTTCTGGGGCACTCTGTCCCACCTTGCATTGCTACTCAATCTTAGTTCTCAGACCTCAATTCTAGACCCCTGCAGAAGGGCTTGCCTGCCCACCTGTTTAAGTAAGTGCCCGCCAAGATCTGCACAAAAGATTGGTTTGTCAGTTTCTAAACCATTGTGGATTGAGGTTGTAAAATATAACTCAAAGTGCTGCAACAATGTCACATTGCTACAAAGGTTCTCAGTACTCACCCTGGAATCTGTACTCATCTCATCATGAGCAGGCTGGTAGCCGACAGTTGAGGGACCAGCGCTGGGCTACACATGATGCTGTGAGTGGCAGTGTGGCCCCACTGATTCCCCTGCGTATATTCTCAGAATCAGCCACCCTCTGCAATCCTATGGCTTGGGTTTGCTCTCCCAGTAGAATGCGAGCTCTCATGGCAAAGATCTTGTCTTGGATTCATCACCTACCTCCCTCCACAATGCCAAGATCAGCACTACACACCAAGGTCTTTTTAAAATTTTTTATTGGTGCATTATAATCATAAAAAAGTGGGACTCGTTATTCCATATTCATGTATGCACATGATATAACAGTATAATTTGATCATTTTTGTTTCAAGTATTTCTCCTTTGCCTGTCCTCCTTCCTCCTCACCCCTCTTCTTCTACTAATCTCCCTTTGATTTTCATGAGGCACACCCCCCAATCTTTCTTTTCCTTTTTCTTCTCTAGCTTCTACATATGAGAGAAAATATATGGCCCTTGACTTTCTCAAATTCCATCTATTTTCCTACAAATAACATAATTTCATTCTTCTATATGACCAGATAAAACTCCACTGTGTATGTGTGTGTGTTTGTGGTGTGTGTGTGTGTATATTTATGTGTGTGTGTGTGTGTGTGTGTGTGTGTGTATCATATTTTCTTTATTCATTTCTCCATTGATAGACACCAAGGCTGGTTTCATAATTTGGCTATTGTGAATTGTGCTGCTGTAAACATGGGTATGCATGTATCACTGTAGTATGCTGACTTTAATTCTTTAGGATAAATACCAAGGAGTGATATAGCTGAGTCATATGGTGGTTCCATGCCTAGTCTTTTGAGGAACCTCCAAACGATCTCCACAGTGGTTATAATAATTTATAGTCCTACCAACAGTGTGTTCCTTCCCCCCATCCCACACCTCTTCTCTAGCATTTATTGTTTGTATTCTTCACGGCTGCCATTCTAAATGGAGTGAGGTGAAATATTGGTATAGTTTTGATTTGCTTTTCCCTAATTGCTAAAGACGTTGAACATTTTTTTCATATTTTTATTGGCCATTTATATTTCTTTTGAGAAGCATATATTTAATTCATTTGCCCATTTACTGGATTTTTTATCTTTTTGATGGTGAGTTTTTGAGTTCTTTATATAATCTTCTGTCAGAAGAGTAGCTAGCAAAGATTTTCCTCCCATTCTGTAGGTTTTCTTTTCACATTCTTAATTGTTTCCTTTGCTGTGAATAAAATTTTTAATTATTATCCATCTATTGAAGCTCAGTATTATTTTCTGAGCTTTCGGAATCCTATTGAGGAAGTTATAGCCCCTGCCTTTATGTTTGAATGTTGATCCAACATTTTCTTCTAGAAGTTGCAGTTTCTGGTTTAAGTCCTAGGTCTTTGCTCCATTTTGAGTTGACTTTTGTGCAGGGTGAAAGATAAGGGCCTAGTCTCATTCTTCTACACATTGATAACCAGTTTTCCCAGCACCATGTGTTACAGAGGCTGTCTTTTCTAYAATGTATGTTTTAGGTGCCTTTGTTTAGGATCCGCCAACTGTAGACATCGGGTTTGTCCCATTGTCTTCTGTTCTGTACCATTGGTCTGTGTACCTGTTTTTGTGCTAGTACCATGAAGGTTTTGTTACTATAGCTCTGGAGTATAACTTGAAGCCGGGTTTTGTGATGCCTCCATTGTTGCTTTTTTGGCTTTGAGTTGCTTTGGCTATTCTGGTCTTTTGTTTTTCCAAATGAATTTTAGGACTGTTTTTTTCTAATTTTGTGAAGCATGTAGTTGGTATTTTGATGGGAATTGCATTGAGTTATATATTGCTTTTGGTAATATGGCCATTTTAACAATTTTAACCATATTCATTCTTTCTATCTATGAACATGGGAGATCTTTCCATCTTCCTTGTGTTCCAATTTCTTTCTTCAGTGTTCTTTAGTTTTCAGTGTAGATGTCTTTCACCTTCTTGGTTAGATTTATTCCTAGGTTTTGTTTGTTTGTTTTTTGAGGCTATTGTGAATGGGATTATTTTCCCTGATTTCTTTCTGAGCAGGTTCATTATTTGTATATAGAGAAGCTATTGATTTTTATATATTGAATTTGTAACCGGCTACTTTTTTCCTGTTTTTAGACCTTTTATTTTCTTCTCTTGCCTAATTACTCAGTCTAGAATATCTAATACTATATTGAATAGGAGTGGTGAGAGTGGACGTTTTTATCTTGTTCCATATTTTAAAGGAAATACTTTCAGGTTTTCTCCATTCACTATGATGTTAACTTTGAGTTTGTCATATATGACCTTTATGATAAGATAAGTTCCTTCTATCCTTAGTTTCTTCATGCATGCTAGGTTTTAGTTAAGTCCACATGGATGCCCCAGCCCCCTGATCTGCTTGTCCTGCCCAGCCCTGCCCAGCCCAGCCAGCCCAGCCTAGTTGAGCCTAGCCTAGCCTAGCCCAAGTAGGAGGAAATCACAGGAGACCCAGGCTGCCCCTTTCTTCTCCCAGTGGATCTGCTTCATCCTCACATTCAACATCAGTCTGTTATTGTGACTGATATATAGCAATTCCAGCCTCAAAGATGTTGCTAACTTACTGCTTGAYCTTGACCAGGGTCTTTTATACCACATGCTTCCATCTCCCTGTCTGTGAAGTAGGCATGATACTTCCTTCCACCGTAAAATGAGATCATGCTCTTGGACACACTTCGTGATCTTCAAACTGCTACTGCCACTGTGTGGCTTCTCAGATATGCATCAGTTTTGTAACTAAAAGCAAAAGCTATTTTCTTCCTTCACACTCTTTTTAGTGAGATGTAGTGGGGTCATCAAACTCTTTATATACTGGGCCACATAGTAAATATTTTAGGCATTGTAATCCACAAGGTAACAGTGGGTCTCTGTTGGTCCCTCTGCCCCCTGTTCTTTAAAAATATCTTTAAAATCTTTTTTAGTTAAGGGCCTTAGGAAAACAGGCCAAGGCAGTTTGCCAAGTCTTCACAATAGACAGGTGAGAATATGTTCTGTAGAACTCAGCAAATTTTATTTTCTGCCTGATAAAAATTGTAACCTATAACAATTTTATTTTTCTTGAATTGGTCCTCTTGCAAAATTGTTGTTAATCACTATATTCATGCTTTACATTCTTTCTTTTTTCAAGTGCATTTTGAACATTAATGAAATTTAGAATAGCTTCTCAGCACAAAATGATTCTTTAGCTCAGGGTTGGTGGTTTGGGTAGGGGAACCCAAAGCACTTAAAAGAACATTCTGAGTTCAGATGGACCCTGAAAGCTTGATAATGTGTCCAGAATTGGACTGGTAATAATAAATCTGTGCCATATAAATACATTCTTAATTGTTTCCTGAAGTTTTCCCCTAATGATTTACTTATGTATAGATGTCTGATGAAACTTTCTGTTGAATTTAGAGCTGACACAGTTATTCTTATTTCTTACCAACAGCCAGACATGAATTATTGTGTGGCCAAGTTTTTATAGTACCATAAATATTCTAACTGTTTAGTTATAAATAGGGTGTGCTTGGATACAACTGATCTTTTTTAAACAGCCCCTTTCCCTGCCTTTGCTGCCAAGATCTCCTGAATGCTTCAGGCCATCTCTTACCCTTCTTATAAACCATTGTCCATATTCTTATTCAATACCAATTTCCATTTCTTAAAAAATATTCTTTAGTTGCAAATTTTAACAAAGTTCTCTGGAGTTGATATGGTGGTAGGTCTTGAATAGTAGGTCAAAAACAAAATCAGTGTAGTAGTGTCTGGATATCTCATTTTCTCTTTGATTTCTTCTGGGAGCGACACCTGCTGAACAAGAACTTTGGCACTGTAAACAGATCACTTTCAAGCAGGGTATGTGGAGAGCATAGGTTGAGGAGCTGGTTCTGCTACTCCCTGCCTGTTTAATGTTAGGCAGATTTTGAACTTGGAGCCTCAGTTTTCTTATCTGTAAAGTTGGCCTGATAAAAGAATCTTCTCTATAGGATTTTTGTGATTTTAAATGAGTTAAGATTTGCTCTGTAAGCATTAGTTGGGTTAGTTCCATGTAAGAGTTTTTATTAAGGGAAAGACATGATTTTGCTGGTACATATTAATGGATAACGTTCCACATGGGAAATCTTACATGTGATCAGCTTTGTCCATTTTGGTTTCTCCACAGGCCTTCGTGGAGGCCCAGAACAAGATCACTGTGCCCTTTCTCGAGCAGTGTCCCATCAGAGGTTTATACAAAGAGAGAATGACTGAACTGTACGACTATCCCAAGTATAGTTGCCACTTCAAGAAAGGAAAGCGGTATGTGGGATTGCTTTCATTTCATTTTCTATTTTTCAGTTTGAATGCTTTCTTAAATTTTAAAATACAAGTTCTAAACAGCTTATCAGTTTATACAATAATTTGATTATAATGGGAATTAATTTCTGTGCTTGAATATATGAATAATGTATTTTTATTCTTTTAGGTTTGATCCAAATTCGTAAAGTAATGGTTAAGAAGTTTAAAGTTTAGTAGAGATATGTCCTATAAAGAACTAGATTATAGGAAATCACTGTTGTCCCGTGGCTAGTAGTTGATAAGATAGGATGATTCATAAACMATAGAGATGTGTTTGCCTCTAAAATTAATTATCTTTGGCTTATATTGCTACTTGAGAACATTTTATTATTTGCATTTATCCTTCTAAGAATGATGAAATGGGTCAGGAAGTGGAGTCTGTGAGTTCAGCCCTCTTGTTCCTCTCTTTTAACACCTACTTAAATGTATTCTCTTGTTCTTTTTTTAAATCTCTTTGAAGCCACCATTACATATTTGCTTTAGGATTTCTTAGGCCCTTCCCCCACTTGCACAGAGATCTCTAAAGTAGACCTGCATGCCAGACCCTGCCTGCCACCTGTTTTTTTGATAAAGTCTAATTGGAACACAGCCATGCCCATTTATTTATGTATTGGCCACAGCTGCTTTCATAATATGTATGTCCCACAAATCCTGAAATATATGCAGTTTTGCCCTTTATCAAACAAGTGCACTGGCCCCATACCTTAGCAGGCTAGCCAGGGAAGCAAACTAGAATTTTATTTTAGAAAATCTGCTTGCTTCTTCAATTAAAAGAAAAAGGTACCATTTTATTTTGAATATCAGTTTTAATTTTCTCAAATCAGTGCTTGTCTCTATATAGCTAATGTGCAGAATTACAATAAATTATTTGCATACAGAATGCAGTTCAGGTCATAAGTTCTAGGTATAGGGAATTGGTAGGCCTTTTCACACTTGGGGCCTTCATGTCCCTGTCGAGGCCAATTAAAGTTGTAACTTTCTATGTTTGGGGTTTTGTTTGGAGTTTTATTTTTTGCTTATGTGTTTAGCTGGGGCATTTTATTGTATGGAGTTAAACTAAATAAAGACCATCTCTGTCCCTAGGTATTTTTATTTTTATAATACAGGTTTGCAGAACCAACGAGTATTATACGTGCAAGATTCTTTAGAGGGTGAGGCCAGAGTGTTTCTTGACCCCAACATACTATCTGACGATGGAACAGTGGCTCTCCGAGGTGAGTGGTACACCAGACCCTCAGGAGGGCCTAAGTTTTACTCACAGATCTGAAGTTAGTGCAGTGCCTTCACCTCTGAAATGCCAGGCAGGGTCTGAACCATATTGTAGAGCAGATGCACACACAATATTAGGAAAGCTAACTTTTGAACAATATATTTAGAACACATAAATAGTCACATTCATCTTTCTCACTCTGGTGGCATGAAGCAGAACTGGAGAATAATAATTTCCACTGGACCCAAATTAGCTTCTGGGATCTTGAAGTATCAATATTATTTCCTATAACATCCCTTAGGCCTATCAGTGATTAGAGAAACTTGCATCCTCTTTTATAAGAAATTTAAGCTGTATAAAGAATGTTCCAATTATAAAAGGAAATCAGAAAAGAATATTACCAAATCGGTTTCCTTGGGGGGAATAATCAGAGATTTAAAGCCTAGTTAACCTCCAGTATGTTAGAATTAAAAGTTAAAAAAAAGTACAAACAGCCTTGTAGAAATTGGATTGCTTGATGCCCTGTCCTCTAACAATACAGGTATCTAAGTTGGCTCAGCATTTCCCCTAGAGTTCCATCTGTTCTGTGGATAAAGCAGAACTCTACTGGCTCTCTAGAATTGAGAACAGTGACTGGGTTTCTCCATAGTGCTGTGTTCCTTCCCCAGAATAGTCCTGAGTATGTAAATAATGGATCTTTATTGAATCAGTATTGAAAGACACCAGCACCTTGATAAAAAGTGTTCCATAAATCTAAGTCTGTAGTTTTAATGAWTTCCGTATACTGGTTGTGTTGCCATAATGTATTTTGTATAGGAATTGTTTAGTTTTCACCAAGATATATCTTACAATCTATATATGATGAGTAAGGACTTCATTATTATAACAGAGGCTTGCCTCTTGTCCTGTTGATGCATTCCAGTCGCTTCTTTATGGAATATTTGCTGCATACAAGGCCCTGATGGGTGAGAAGGTGAATTAGGAACAAGACCTGGCCTCAGTTGATGAGTTTTCTCAGAGTGGTATTATAGGGAAGTGACACTATGAATAAACATGTCAAGCCTTTTTTTTTAGTATATGACTTTTTTAGACATATTTTAAATCAAAATGTTTTTTGAAAAATTTTCCTGAACATTTTCTAACTATGTAGAAATAATCCAAACACTACAGTGTTCTGTTCTGTACAATAAAAGGTGAATATCTTTCTTCTCCCTCATTACCTTTCAGACTCTTATTTTGCATTTACATATATATGAGCCTGGATGCTATATAGGACTCACAAGTATTAATAAGTAGGTTTCATGAAATTTTAAACTAATCTCCTATTAAAATTCTGTGCAGAAGAGTAGAAAACCTCTGGTAATAGTTGAGCTTCTTACAGTTTTCAATCCACAGTAAAGTTTAGCAAAATTCCTAAGAGGAAAATCTCTGGTGTTGGAGTCTGTATTAGTAGATGTGGTATCAAATGCTGTACATACCTCATAATTGTAAAAGATGACATAAAACATGTAAATATTTGTTCAGAAACATTYCACAGTGGTAAGAATATTCTGTCTTTGGGTCCTAAAGACTGGACATGACACAACTGTGTTGCTTTTTGGTCACTTTTGAAATGTGTATGTAATGAGCATTTATTGCAAATCCTCAAGCTCTACTTACCTGGGCCTATGATGTCAGATAGTGTGGCCATCAATCTTTGGGTGCCAGTAATGCTCTGAAAATGAGGTTGTAAAGAGGGATTTCAAATAGTCTGGAGTCTGTCCCATAAATGACTTAATAGCTACAATTTAATTCTATTATGTGGTTTGTGTCATAATTCAGTCATTACTCTAAAAGCAGTTTTCTTTTCCCCTTATTCCCTTTAGCATATGAATAAAATATGCTAGAAGTCTCAGATGAGCTCTGCTTTTAACTGAACTGCCTATCAAATTATAAAAATTTCAAAATGGAAGCAACTTTCTGGGCATGTAATCCTATGCTTCCTTTTACCAGTGAAGAAACTAAGACCTAGAGAGGTTAGGGACCTTGTCCAGGGTCATAGGAGTGATTCCTGTAAGACCTGGGCTGAACCCTAGGGTTGCTCACTATTAGCCTTCCTGATTATTCTGCTGCCATTTTCTGCTTCTGTGTTAATGGCAAACAGCTTTGTCGGTCAGCATGGAGGATAGCACGCAAGGTTAGGAGTTGTGTCCCATTTCACCATCTGATTGGTTCTGTGTCCCATAGGTTATGCCTTCAGTGAAGATGGTGAATATTTTGCCTATGGTCTGAGTGCCAGTGGCTCAGACTGGGTGACGATCAAGTTCATGAAAGTCGATGGTGCCAAAGAACTTCCTGATGTGCTTGAAAGAGTCAAGTTCAGCTGTATGGCCTGGACCCACGATGGGAAGGGAATGTTCTACAACTCGTACCCTCAGCAGGATGGAAAGAGTGATGGTATGTAAAGACTTCAGTGAAGCACATATTTCCCCAAAAGGAGGTGTGACTTCCTAAGACTGAAAAAGAAGCTAAATTCTACCTAGAGGTTATTTAGGCTAAAGCCAGGTTTTCTCAAAGGGTATTGTGTCAGTTGGCTTTGCTATGTAATAGACCACATCAAAACTTAGTTTAGAATAATAGCCTTTTTTTTTTTTTTTTTTTCTTCTGATCCCTGGGTTGACCAGGCAGTTCTGGGCTTAGCTAAGGGCTGCCATGTGTGTGGCCAGCTGCAAGTCAGTTGTCTRATCTTGGCTTGGCTCTCACATGTCTGGGGCCTGGCCTGGGACTACTGGGCTATCTCAGCTTGGATCTGTGTGGTCTCATCTGCTAGTAGACTGGCCCAGGCTTGTTCACTTGGTGACTCAGGAGTGGATTCCAAGAGGGAGAGCTGGAAGGCACAAGCCTTTTGATGCCTAGACTGGTCACTCTAATTTCTCTGCATTCTGTTAGCCAGAGTGTCATAGGGCCATCCCTTTTCAAGGGTGAGGAAATAGGTTCAGAAATGTGGGGCCATCATGTCCCTAGTATGGGTCCTCCTTAGTTGTGTTATGTCTCCCAGGGATTATTGGAGAAGATGGATTTTTTAACAACACCACTCTATTGGATGACGCTCAGTAATTGTAAAACCTGTTGCTGCAGTAATCTCATCTCTCTGGTCAGTAGTTACAATCACATGTTAATTATATTTTGGTTTCCTCTTTCCTCCTCCCTGGTCATACTTTTATTGTTTTCTTTGGTTGTACAAAGATCCTATTGTATTTCTCCTTTCCCCTTCACAATACCTTTATTTTATTTGTTTATTTTTATAAGGTGCTGAGGATCCAACTCAGTGTCTTGAACATGTAAGGCTAGCACTGTACCACTGAGCTACAACCCAGCCCCTTTCCCCTTCACTCTTAATCTCCCCAGACAGGACACATCCTTGGGTCTTACTGGTATAAGCCATCAGCATCATCTACATTATGCTACCCACATTTCCACATGGTATGTTGTAGTCTCTTCTTATCTTCATGGTCGTACAGCTGATTTGTACAATCTATTAAAGTTTAGGAGGTTGGGTACAGGGGCTCAGTGACTTGCTGGAGAATTTGGGAAGACAGGACAGAGTATTGCTCTGGGGCTTTCTTCTATATGTGACCCCCTTATCGTGACTTGCTGTATCTTTGTCATCTTTAGATATGCTTGATTTCTTTTCTGTTTTCCCATCCAGTTGAATTGAGAATAAGGTTACAATGCTTTTCTTCTCCTTTGGCCGCTTTTAGCTTTTGCTGCCTTTTGATGAGGCTACTACTGTAAGACCTTTTCCTTAACTCACCARTGAACTACAAGAGGAGCTAAGAGTAGGCTTTTTGTTCAAGAATGTTGGCTAAAGAAAGACATCTGTGCCCTGTACTGAATTAGCTGCCTATGTTAAGAGTGCTCCAGAGTTAGACAGTGTTGGTTATTTCCAAGCTCTGGGAGACAAAAAATAAGAAAAGCACAATTGGCTGAGTTTTATTAAAGTACAGTGTTATTAAGTTAACTTCTGAGAAGCATGAAAGTTGTTATTTCTCTTCAGCCTTAAGTGGCAAAAATAATAATAATTAGTAAATGTGATTGACTTAAGAAAGCCAACATCATCTCCACGCTGTAATTTTTCTGCCCTCTTATTGAGAGGGTCTGTGTAGCCTCTGAGACTATAATGGGGCCTTGTGAATTAAGCTAAGCAATTCATGTTGTGCTTCTTAACAGGGTTCCCGGAAAACTATGAATATCTCCAAAGTGCCATAAATATTTTTTATATTATATATTTTTTCTTTCATTGCTCTGATAACTTCTTGTTTTCATAATGAAAAACTAAAGTTCAGTCTTATAACTATCTCTAAAATCAACAGTACTACTTTTAGGTGGATGTGCAACTAGATATTTATTTTTTTAATAAACTTGAATTCATAGCAAAATTAGAGGAAGAAACAGATTTCCCCCATACCTACTGCCTGTCCGTATATACGCATAGCCTTCTCCATCAGTGTGGTACATTTGTTATAAATGATGAATCTTTATTGACACGGCATTATCACCTAAATGGTGATAATGATACATTAGCTTACATTAGGGTGTGCTGTTATTGTGTGTTCTGTGGTTTTGGACATAATGCCATGTATTTAGCATTATAGTATCATACAGAGTATTTTCACTACCATAAAAAGATTCTGGGGACTGAAGTCGTGGCTCAGTGGTAGAGTGCTTGCCTAGCATGCATGAGGCTGTGGGTTTGATCCTCAGTACCACATAAAAATAAACAAATAAAGGTATTATTTCTACCTACAACTAAAAAAAATTTTTAAAATATTTTAAATTATTGGTCCACCTATTCTTCATGTACCACAGTGTATTCCTTTACCTACACAAGGATAGTTTAGTTGATTCCAGGTTTTGACAGTTATGCATAAAATTGCTGTAAAAATTGTGGATAAGTTTTTGTGTGGACATACAATTTGTTCCTTTGGTTAAATATTAAAGAGCACCATGGTTGCATCATGTGGTAAGTGTACGTGTACTTCTATAAGAAACCTCTCAAACTCTTCCAAAGAGTGGCTGCACCATTTTGTATTCCCACCAGCCAAGAATGAAAGTTCCTGTGGCTTTATATCTTCACCACTATTTGGTGTTATCCACGTCCTGGATTTTGGCTGTTCTCATAGGTGTGTAATAGTTCTTTTGATATAATTTGCATCTCCCTGATCATGTACTATGTGGAGCATRTTTTCATATGCTTCTTTGCCATCTGTATATCTTCTTTGGTGAAGTGTCTATTAAGGTCTTTGTCCCAGTATTTGATCAGGTTGTTTATTTTCTTATTTTTGAGTATTAGTTCTTTCTGTATTTTGAACAATAGTTCTATATCAGATAGGTTTTTCAAACATTTTTCCCAGACACTGACTTGTCTTTTCATTCTTTCGATAATATCCTTTGCCAAGCATAACTTTTCAATTTTAATGAATTCTAGTTTATCAATTATTTATCTCATGGATTATGCTTTTGTTGTATCTAAAAAGTTATCACCAAATCCATGTTCATGTAGATTTTCTCCTATTTTCTTTTGGGAGTTTTATTGTAGTAGTGTAGTGTGTTTTACATTTATGTCTGTGATTTAATTTTTTGTGAAAGGTGTAAAGTCWTTGTCCAGATCTTTCTTTTCCTCTCCTACACCTCCCTCTCTCAGCATGTGATGCCCCACCATTTCAGCTGCCTTTGTTGAAATGATTGTTCTCTCCATTGTATTTTCTTAGTTCCTTTGTGTGGGTCTTTTTCTGGAGTTCATTTCTGTTCCATTGATCTGTGTATTTATTCTTTCCACTGATATCACATTGTCTTGATGACTGTAGCTTTAAATAGCATGTCTTGAAGTCAATTTGTATCAGTCCTCCAACTTTGTTCTTTACCTTTAATAATGTGTTGGCTATTCTGAGTCTTTTTTGCCTGTTCATATCAACTTTAAAATGAGTTTGTCCAAATCCACAAAACAACTTGCTGAGATTTTGGTTGGAATCATAGTGAATCTATATGTCGAGTTGGAAGGAATAATGACCTCTTGACATTATTGACTCTTCCTATTCATAAGTGTGGGCTCATTCTTCATTTACTCTTTTGTTTTCATCAAGTTTTATAGTGTTCCTCATACAGATCTTGTACATATTTTGTTAGATATATACCTTTCTTTCTTTCATTTGATTAGGTACTAATGGAAGTAGTATTGTGTTTGTAATTTCAAACTCTTCTTGTTCATTGCTGGTGTCTGAAAGCAGTTGACTTTTGTTCATCAATCCTGCAACCAGACAGTTAACATTTTAATTGTTTCTAGCATTGTATAACATAGRTGAAACTGATTTTCTTAAAATTGCCAACTGCACTTCAGTATACATTTTTAACTCCTCAGGCACAGAGACATCCACCAATCTCCACCAGAAGCTCTGCTACCACGTCCTGGGGACTGATCAGTCAGAAGACATCTTGTGTGCTGAGTTTCCTGAGGAGCCTAAGTGGATGGGAGGAGCTGAGGTAGTGTACAGCTATGAGATTTTTACCTTCAAAAATCATGTGTCATGGGTGGTATATTCTTGTTATGCAGTGATCTTTATGGATGGTAAAAGTCCTTTGAGTCAATATTCTTTTTTWATTTTTTAGTATTTTTTTTAATTGTCAATGGACCTTTATTTTATCTATTTATATGTGGTACCGAGGATTGAACCCAGGGCCTCGCACGTGCTAGGCAAGTGCTCTACCACTGAGCCATAAGTCCAGCCCTGAGTCAATATTCTTTTAAAAAAATATTGATATTCAGATCGATTCTTAATGACAAAGGTKATAAACCTTTTAACAGTGATCTCAGTGTAAAAATCTGAATACTAAAAGTAGTACACACACAAATATAAAAGACAATAATGTGAAGTAAAACATGAGCAGTTCAAAACTCAGAATTCTATTCAGGGGTGAGCAAAGTAACCTAAAATTTTTCTTTGCACACACACAAGTGAGAATGTACATGTGTGAGACAGAGGTGTCTTCCTTTTTTACACAACTGTGCTCTTTCCATGCATTTTGTTTACACATTAGAATTAGCATCTTGTAGACACTTTCCCATCTGTAAATGTTCATGCATTCCTTAGGAGTCTTGCCAGTAACCAACCTCCAATGAAGTGATGTGTCCTGAACTTACTGTCCCAGGTTGTATTCTGTAATCTTGAGAGTCAGCCGTGAAGAAACTTGGGGTGCTAAGAGGAAGAATCTGGCTCTTGCTAGTTTATGTCTGGGTACTAAGAAATATTTGTTGTTAAAGAGAAAATTTCCGAGTGTCTTAATGTGGGTGTGGGGACTTATTTTCTCATTCTTAGTAGGAATGAGTGATCCAATACAAACTTTTTAGCTCATGGATGCACTTACCTCTTCTCTGAAAGACAATTAGAACTTTGCTAGGAAAGAGACATTTAAAGTTTTTATTTCTGGGGTTTAAACGGTTTTGATTCATTGAGAGGCAGAATGAGAATTGGTGATATTCTATCCCTGTGTGTTAATACACTACATATCCAGTTGTCCTTTATTTATTTTGTTTTTTCTAGACCAAGGGTCAGTAAACTATTGCCCTCAGGCCAGATCTGGCCTGGTGTCTGTTTTTATAAAGARAGTTTTATTGGAGCCCATCCACCCACACTCATCGGACTTGGGAATTTGCCACAGAAGGCATGTGATCCACAGGGAGGAAAATATTTACCATCTGGATCTTCAAGAAAGGGTTTTCYAGATTTTACTGGAATATGTTAAAAATGAATTTGTAGGACTTATATTTTATTTTCTTCAAATGCACTTCTTTTTTGTGTGTGCTTTTTCTTCCATCTGTCTCCTCACCAACTTTCCTGACTGTAGACACTAATGTCACTGTTCATACCTATTTGCTTTTATTGGCTTTCCTGATATCTAAAATCTAATAGATTGTTTCTACTAAGTTTTTTCCCTCCTCCAGCTTCTCCTCAATTTAAGGACTTAAGCTTTCTGCTTAATGCAGATCATAGATGTTTGTTTATAAAAGTAATACACATTTTTACCTTTGAGTGAAAATGCAATTAGGGAGATAAGTGTGCCACTAAAAAAATTAAAATGTGAAGTCCTGTATTTTTACCTTATTTGCGAGTGGTGTTAATGAGGAAAACTTAAAATAGTTCATTTTAATAATCAAATTTTATTGCCTCTGGATTTTTCATAAAATCAAAGAGATACTTAACTCTTTCAAGTAAAATTTTTAAGCTTCAAAGTTAATTTCATTGCAGCAGAAATTTGGTTGATAATGTGAATATTGAAAATAAATGCCAAAATATCGATATATTTTAGCACATAAGTCTAAAAGAAAGCAGAGACAGCATCCGTGTACCCCTCTAGCTACTTGAGTCATCTTACTAGCACTTGATGGAAGCAGCTACTTTTACATGACTTTTTTTTCAATTATAGTAAAAATACATAACATAAAATGTATCATTTCAAAGTATCCAATGTAGTGGCATTAGAAACATTCTCACTGCTATGTGGTCATCACCATCCTCTGTCAACAAAATATGAAAAACTGAAACTCTGTACCCATCATACAAAAATTACTCCCTTTTCCTTCACCCCYGACTACCTATCAGCCACAGTTCTACCTTCTGTCTCTTCACGTTGGACTATTCTAGACACTTCTATATCCTTTTATAACTGGCTTACTTCACTTAGCATCATATTCTCAAGGTTCATGCATGTGTAGCACATGTCATAATTTCCTTCCCCCTTTTCTTTGGCTGAACAGTATTCCATGATATACTATGTGTTGTTTTTCCCTTCATCCTGGGACACTTGGGTTGCTTCCCTAGTCTTATTGCAAGGCTGCTTTGGGCAGCTAGTGCTTACAAATAGGAGCCRTGTCATATAGGCATTTAAGGTACGTATATTCAATTCTGTTAGCCAGACAATAAAAAGAAAAGCAGATTTAAATAATTCAGATGATCCTTTTGCTGTTCATTTAATAGATGTATACACAATGTAACGTGTCTAATATAATTTCGACCACAACATTGGGAAGGAAATGATTGCTCCATGCATAGACAAGATAAAATAGTAACTAAGGCATTACCTTGCAAGTTCATTGCTGGATATATTAGATTCCAAAGTATCTGTATCTTTAACCACCATGCAACTTGCCTCGCTGGACAAAAGCAAGGAGGTCACACAAAAATAGTAATGATTATTTAAAGAGTACTAGTAAGTGGAGGATGCATCTGTTCTGTGTAGAAGTAATAAATGAAATAAATAAATGGACATATAGAGTGAGTCCAAGGAATTTTAACTTGGATCGAGGCCCTAATTAGTGAATTATGTGGAAGAAGTCTATAAGAAAACTATTGAGCTCAATATGAGGTGCCCCCTAAAGCTCATGTGTGAGACAATGCAAGAAGGTTCAGAGGGAAATGATTAAATTATGAGAGCTTTAACGTAATCAGTGGATTATGCTGATATGGATTAACTGGATAGTAACTATAGGCAGGTAGGATGTAGCTAGAGGAAGTAGGTTCCTGGAGGCATTTTTTTTGTCCCTAATGAGCAGAGCCCTTTCCGCTCCCTTGTTGCCATGTGCTGAGCTCCTTCCTCCACCATGCCCTTCTGCCATGATGTTCTGCCTCACTTCAGGCTCAGAGGTATGAGGCTGGCTATGGAAACCAGGAGCCAAAATAAACTCATCCTTCTCCACTTTGTTCTTGTTGGGTATTTAGTCACAGTGATAAAAACCCTGACTAAAACCCTTAATAATTGGGTATGGGTAGACTCCCCTTAAGCCATATTCCAACTATTTGGGGGGGTCTTATTATGACCATGTCAGTCTACCAGTTTCCAGATTTGGTGAGGCATATCTGGCATCCTAGGTGACTGAAGCTTCCTGGTCTAGCCGTGTATGATCATTCTGATCAAAGTGAAATATCTTGTCACATAGAGGAGCACTCTGTCATTAAAACATGAGTTTGATAGCTCTGTAGGGATAAAGGCTTCAGAAGTCTCAGGCCCACCCTAAATTGATAGTTCAGTTGCAAATCTTTTACCCAGAAAAATCCATATTATGAAAAAGGTGCCAAAGTGGATGTTTCTTGTGCCTTTCAAAGAAGTGTGCTAAAATCGGGAGAGTCCAAGCAGCTGGCGTGTTATAGATCCGTGTGGGCCAGAAGCACCCATGGCTGGAATACACATTAGAAATCAAACCTGGCCTTTATTTAGTGACCTGCTGTTATGGTTTGGATATGAGGTGTCCTCCAAAAGCTCCTGTGTTGATGCAGGACTGTTCAGAGGTAAAGTGTTTGGACTGTGAGAGCTGTGACCTCATCAGTCCATTCTAGTTTGAAGGGTCTAACTGGGTGGCAACTGTGGGTAGGTCAAGTGTGGCTGGAAGAGGTGGGTCATTGAAGGCCTGCCTTGGAAGGGTTCATCCTCTTACAACCCCCTCTTCTCCTGCTCTGCTTCCGGATCCCACCATGAGACAAGCAACTTTCCTCTGCTGGACTTTTGTCCTTAATGTGCTCCCTCACCTTGGTCCAGAGCAATGTGCTCCCTCACCTTGGTCCAGAGCCATCTGTGGATTGAGACCTCTGAACCTATTAGTCCCAAACAAACTTTTCCTCCTCTAATTTGTTATTGTCATGTATTTTGGTCATAGCAACACAAAGCTCACTAACATATCCGTCAGATCTTAGGGCAATGTGGTAGTCCTCTTTGTAATAACCATGCCCAAAAGGCATGTGCTGCAGTTGTTGCTTTTATTTCTAAAGTATTTGCCATGGAACTGAAGAGCCACAGTTACAGTGCTAGAGAGGTACTGAAACAAACCAGGCGGTTTTTATTCTAGTGCCACCTGTGTGGCCTCAGGAGAGTCCCTTCATCTGTCCATGTTTCTCTTTTCTTGGTTTCCTCCAGGGCTTTTTCAGCTCTGAAAGTGTGTGGAAGGAGGATTTGTCACAGTTTCTCATAGATTCCTGAAGCAGGCTTCTGGCTGAGCACATAGCTGCTGGGTGTGAGAAGTGGGGCGCGCAGAGCTGGGTTTGTGGGTTTGGGTGGAGGGATGCTGTGGAGAGGGCAGGAGCTGCACGTGTGTCAGTCTTTCTGGCTGGCTGACAGCCGCAATGCGAGTTCACTGAGAACTTCCCTTCATATCTCCATGCGGGTGCCGTGATGACTCATTTTCCTGCCCTCACAGATGCCTTCTCTGTCTTCCTTAGAGGACAGGTCTTTCTTACCTTGGCAGAGAGAATTCAGTGATTTCCTGTGAGAAACTATTGTTGCTTTCCAACATGCTGCCTTTGGGGGCACATCTACCCCCACACCAAAAGATTTTCTTCCTTCTGGGAGAATCCAGAGCTTCCGGATACTTTTTTTTTGGGGGGGGGTGTGGAGAGGTGGGTACTGAGATTGAACTCAGGGGCACTCAACCACTGAGCCACATCCCCATTCCTGTTTTGTATTTTATTTAGAGACAGGGTCTCACTGAGTTACTT